TGAAGCAACTGTTGATACAAGAATGCATAATAAATCATGGGCCATGGCAGCAAGAATTGGGTAGCGGCACTGATTTGTCTTCCAATAAGAGAGAATATCCAACTGATAACTCCGTTTTATTCTAGGCTCATCCAAATACAATTCCAACTGTGATTTTTTGTTTGAATAATAAAACAAATCACTGGAAACATCATCAAATTCCTGAAAAAAAAAATAAAACATTAGTAACTACTAAGATAAATATTACTACGTACAAGAATGTAAATATATAAGAAAAATAAATATTACCTTCATCAAATCTGACTCATCTACTTCCATTCCATATGGTGCTTTACCCTTGTCCTTTTTCTTGCAAGTGGGTGGTGAGACAGAATGATCAAGCTTCAAAGCATACTCGTGAAAAAGGGATTCCAACTTCTCACGCAATGATAACAACTCCTTAGAGTTAAGCCCAAAAGCTTTCTTGTAGCAAAAGTCAATAAACTGCATCTTATATCGTGGATCGAATAGAAGTGCAATGCCTAAAATGGGGCTGAATTGTGACCAATATTTCTGAAATTTGGGCGACATATGCATAGCCATGGACTTCAAGTACTGATCTTCACCTTGGGTAGCATTTTTTAGGGTTATATAGCATTCCATAATTGCTGGGAAATATAAGCTTACTGTGGGATATTTTGTGCCAGAAAATAAAAGTGTGGCATCATAGAAGAATTTCAAGAACTTGGATATCTTCTTACTCTTTCCCACTCATCGGAGTTAGGACAATTCTTATAGTTAGAATCACTCAATTCTAAATTTTGAAAAGCGTGTCTATAAAAGAGAGCACTTTCAAGCATAAGATAAGTTGAATTCCATCTAGTAACCACATCTTGAGACAATCCTTTGTTGTTTCCCATCGACACTAACTTAACACATTCTAAAAACTTTTGCTTCCTTTGTTGTGATCCTTTAACATATTTAACACTATCTCGAATCTTCTCAACTGACTTATCAATACTTTTCAAACCATCTTGCACAACAAGGTTAAGTATATGGGCACAACATCTCAAATGAAAAAATTCACCATGAAAAGGCAACAAACCACGCAAGTTCAATTGCTTTTGCAATGCATCCACGGAGACATCATTTGAAGCAGCATTATCTAAAGTTATACTGAAAATCTTTTCCTCAATTCCCCAATCACTTAATAAGGAAAAGATTTTCTCAGATAGTGCTATCCCAGTGTGTGGAGGTGGCATAAGACAAAAACTTATAATTCTTTTATGTAACTTCCAATTCTTATCAAGAAAATGAGCAGTCAGGCACAAATACCCATACGTAGTCAATGAAGTCCACAGATCAGATGTCAAACTTATTCTACCAGGACATGCATCTAACATATTCTTTATTTTCATTTTCTCCCTTGCATACAACTTAAGAGAGTCAGCCTTAGCAGTGTTCCTAGACACTAATTCCACATCAGGATATAGATATTGAAGCATAGCCCTTAATCCTTTGTACTCAACAAATTGGAAAGGCAAATCATGCATAACAATACAAGCAGTCACCAACTCACG